GGGGGGTCTCTAGGGGGGGTCTCTGCTCCGGTACCTGAAGTTCTGGTTCCCGCTGCAGATGTTCCGGGTCAGAACCGGGGTGGCCGGGACGCTCCGGCCCTCAAAGCTGGACACGCTCCGGGGCAGGGTCCGGTTCGGGCTGAGGGGAACAAACAAAACCTGAGACCAGCTGGGCCCGGCCGGATGGGGGGCAGTGGGAGCCCCACTGGCCTGGGGGGGAAATGGGGGGGAAGGGGGGCAGGGGAGACCAGGGGCGTAAGGAGCAGGTTGGGGGGGGGGGACGCACTGGCCTGTACCCACCTGGTAGGGCTGGCTAGCGAGCTGCGGCGGCTGGTGGCCCCCCCGCCCAGCTCTGTGGGGGGCCCTCGCCAGCCGGGCCGGCGGTCAGGGCTGCCGGACACGGCGCGGAGGTGATCCCGGGTGCGGGGGGACGAGGGTCCCCCCTTGGGCGGGTGGAAACAGTGGGGGTCATCTGGGGAGAGAATGCAAGGGATGGAACCCAGGAGTCCAGCGCCCCCCACCCCCCGCCTGCACCCCACCGGTCCCTGCCCCCCCCGCTCTAACCACTAGCCCCCACTCCCCTCTCAGAGCCGGGAAGAGAACCCAGGAGTCCTGGATCCCACCCCCACTGTTCTAGGGGGGAACCCAGACGGGGAGAGAACCCAGGTGTCCTGACACACTCACCGTTCTCGTGACTGGCTGCTTCGGAGAGGGAGCTGTTCTCGGAGGTGAACACCTCATCTTGAGAGGGTGGGGAATGGAAACAGGGAGATGGGTCAGTCCCCTATAAACCTCCCCTCCGGTACCAGCCCCCGCAAGTCTGCAACACCCCCCCACACTCTGGTAGCAGACATGTGGGGGGGCTGGAATGTTCCCCCCCACTTCTGAAAATCTGGATTCTGAGGGCTCACAAATGCAACAGGAGCAGTGGGGGGGGGAGGCCAGGGGGATCAGGGGTGACTGAGGGGTTTTGGGGGAGGAGGGGGTGATGGGGAGAATGGGGTGTCCCAGAGGCTAGGGGGGACATCTGGGGAAGAAAGGGGGCTGTGGGGGCATTGGGGGGTTATGGGGGTGTCAGGGAGAGAAGGGAGCCTGTGGGGGCATTCAGGGGGTCTATGGGGG